TTGGGTGTGCTCTGCAGTCACACAGGGCCGTGTGGGGTGTGATGTCCCCAGGCAGCCTGCATGAGAGGACGAAGCCATATGGACTCGCCCACAGCTGCCATGCTTGGAACACAGGAGCCCCCTTTTGAGATGTCCGGGGCAGAAGCTGAGACCCCAGGAAGGGAATCTGTCTCTGTCATTAAGCCACAGGGGTGGGGGCTTTCTTTACTTTACTTTTTTTTTTTTAACTATGAAGAGATAATTGGATTTCTTGCTGTCCATGTCACTGATAAGGCGTATGACCTTGAACCAGTGGCTCTTGGCTGGGGGCATGCCTGGGAGACATTTGTCATTGCCTTTCTGAGACATTCATTTTCCCATGACACCCCCAGATCTTACTTACCTTATAACTGGCAGGGTGTTCCTTTTGACACCCTTTACCTACTTCCTCCACCTCCTGTTCCTCACCCCTGGCAGCTACAATCGTTCTCTGTTTCTGTAAATTCCACGTGTTCAGATTCAACATCTAAGTGAGACCCTACAGTATTTGTCTTTCTCTGATTTATTTCACTTCACATAATGCCCTCTAGGTGTATCCATGTTGTGGTAAATGGAAGGATTTCCATCTTTTCAGTAGCTGAATAATATTCTGTTGTGTAGATGTATCACATTTTCTGTGTCCATTCACCTGCAATGGACTCTCAGACTGTTTCCATGCTGTGGTTACCATGAATAATGCAATGCAGTGATGCCATAACGCAGTGGGTCTTCAGTCACCTGCCTGATCTCCCCACATCCTCTGCTCACTACAGTCATTCCCCCACCATCTCCAGAGTTTGACTCTTTGACAAGGTCATATCATATCACTCCTCTGCCCAAACCTTCAGGGGCTTCCCCTGCTCATTTAGAAGAAAGACCAGCATCCTGAGGGCAGCCTGCAAGGCCCTACCTGAGCTGCTCCCTCCCATCCTCTCATGAACCCCATGCTCCCCTTGTTCCCTCTGTCCAGCTTCCCTGGCCTCCCACAGCTCAAGGCTGGGAGGGCTTTGCACTGGCTATCACCCCTGCCTGGAGCACTCCAGGCCCAGAAGCCCTGGGGATTCTCCCTTCTCCCTCCTGCAAGGCCTCCATCCATCACCTCCCACCACACCTCGCTGTGTTCTTCACACTGAGTCTGGGTGACCTGCCATGTGTCACACGCTGGCCCTCCCACCTAAAGCACTGTGTTTGACCACAGGGAAATGGGGTGTTTTTCATATATCCTCCTTCATCTGCAGTAATTCTACAGCTAAGTAGTTCAGGTGAACTTTGCACCTTTATTTTCTGTTTGAGAGATTTGATATTCATTCAGCATACTTTTAATTAACAGCAACCTGGACTCTCCCCACTCAGCTTCTTCAGTTAGGGTTCATGTGGGGGAATTGACTAGTATTAGGTTCCGTTTCCCTCTGTGATGATCCTTTTTCCTGTAACTACAAAGAAGCCCCATCTAAGCATTTGCCTTTCTGCCTCTGAAGCTACCTGGTGCCCATTTGTTGCCGACCTCTGCAGAAATCCTCTTTTGATTCCATGTCTTCACCTCCAACCACCTACCACCAGCCTAGGAACTGTTCTGAAGTCCTAATTAAGCGCATGCTTGGGGGAAGAAGCATGGCCCTCAACTTCATTCTGAGCTAACTTAGCACAACCAAAGTTTTATGAGGAGCAGACGGCATTATATGAAATAAAGTCTGTGAGACATCCCTTCACTCAACCCCTTTCTCTACCATTTGAAGTGATGTGACTTTGGGCCTCAGTGTTCTCATCTACAGAAAGGGCATAATTATAGCTATCTTATCAGCTTGGTGTTAGACTGAATGAGAAAACATTTGTAAATCATTCAGCACAGTGTTTAGTGGTCATGTGGGAGCTTGGAAAAGCACAGTTCTCCTCCCTCTTCCCATTTTACTTTCATTCTTCTTGGAAATAATTCTTAATACACTGGCACATGGCATTTGAAAATGTGTTACTGTAGAACATTGAAGTAGACGGTAATATTCCTGGTGGTAGCAATGGCTCATTATTGCAGAATGTTTATGAAAACTTAACCAATCATTAAGTGTTTGTTGAATGTTTTTATATCTCAGATACTGGGGGATAGCAGGAATAATGAGGTTGTTTTATTCTTTTAAGAATGCCTGGATAGTCTTCTTTGCATCTTCTAAAACTTAAATGTTTAAAAAAAAAATTGGTGGAAAAGTCAGCATGGCAGGTTAAAAATGGCAGATGAAGCACATCCCTTACCTCCTCCCACTTAAACACAACTGAAAATCACTCAGCGCAGTAAAGGGAGTCCCATAGTGACAGAGAGAGAAACCATTAGCAACTGAGATGAGATGAAACAAATACTGGAAAGCAGTTCTCAGATGGGGGAGTAATGGCCTTGGGGAGGGGGTTCTGGGCTTGGGGACACTGGTGAAGGACTTGGTCACCGAGGGCCTAGTCATGACCCAGAGCTAAAAACAAGGGGAGTAGGTGACAGTATGGACAGGCTACTTCCTACCCTCCTCCTGACACATGAAGCTAAGCAGTTAAAGTGCATACACAGATGAATAGGTGAGGCTCCAGCCTCTCTGAGATGAAAGGCCCCAGAGAAGGACCTCTGCGCTCTGGGGTTCAGGACCTTTCAGTAGTGAGCTTCCCACCTGACTGAGGCCAAGTTGCCAATTGACAAGCCAAATATTATCTTGGTGGTGGGGGGTCGTTGAACTTCACCTGAAGCCTCTCTGTACTGTCCTTTTTAATCCTTTTAGATATAAAACTATTTTTTAAAAGTGGAAAGTGCTGGAGCATTGGGTGCTGTAATAAGTACAGTCCCTGCTTTTGGGACACCTGGATTCTGGCCCTCATGTAAAATGTTACTGCAAAGCTGCTACAGTGGTTTCCATAGAAAGTGCACAGGCTTTGCAAACAGTGGCCTTGCTTTGATTTGCTGTTGCAGTTTCCGTAGGTCAGGGTCACCTTAACAGCACCCTCATGTGTCTGTGACAAATACTCCTTTCAGGAATGATTACATTTTATTCTGCATCTCTTGCACCTGCTTCTGCAACAAGTGTCGTGTGTAGTTCACACAGCATTAAAAGAACAAGGGAGTTTGGGGTGGGAAGGTTGGGGTTTGAGAACAGACTGACATTGGCCAGCCCTGACCTGAGCTAGGAACTCACCTTGTCCTGGCAGCTCGGAGGGTGAGGGTCCGTTGAAACAGCGTGTCGGTGTACACTGAAAGTATGGCATAAACGGAAGTTGTCATTCCATTCGAATCACAGTTAAGGACTGCTTCATCTTCTCCATGTGGCTGCAATCCACATGGGAGAGTCACATGCCCTGTTCTCACCCACCTGTCCCTGAGCGGCCATAAACTTGGCCTTGGTGCTGATCTGTCTCCTGCACAGTCTGGGGGTTGTGAAGGGGGATCAGTGTGCAGCTGGGGCCGTCCTCCCCACGCAGTGACAAGCGCTGAGCACGGGCTTCCTCTTCTGCCACCGTGGCTGAGCAGTGATTAATGCCAAATTAGCAACTTGCTCAGTGACCTTTTAGCATTCCCTGCTCTCTCCTTCACTTCCCATAACTATTTGCAAATATTAGCTTCCCAGACCATTTCTCCTCATCAGCAACTTTCACAGGTGACAGGCAGGTAGTTAATCTGATCAGCATTCAGCTTTTGTCCTTTGCCCCGTTGAAAGCGTCTGTACTCTGGCATCTCCCCAGAAATCTGACAACCAGCCCAACCATCTCTGCCATCTCAGAAATGCGGAGTGTCAGAAGGAAGATCTGCCCTGCAGGACTGGCTCTGGAGGCAAAGAACTGGGAGAAGTGAAGGCTGCCCGCAGCTCTCTGGGGGCCCCGCGAGTTCGCCAATATAATCAACACATAGGTTTTAAAAAATTAATTTGTTGGCTCTGCCTGCATCAAGCCTTTTTTCTTTCTTTTTAAAAAATTCACGTGGACCTTTAATTCGAAAATCACATTCTGCTTAGGCAGTGAAAGCCAGAACATGAAGCTGTGAGAAATTAGTGTTGATGAGAGGCCAGTCCTCCTTTTCCTGTTGTTCCCTCTCAATGGCCCAAACCCCACTGCCAGCCCAGCGGGCTAGGCACCCGCTCGCCAGAGCTCTCTTCAGCATGAAGTACTAGATGAAGCATTTTGCACATTCAGTAATTTAAATTTATTTTTATTTCCAGTTTCTGCCATCTCTACCCTTTACTGAAATTCCTATTCTAGAAATATTTGATCAGTCTTCGTTCTCCCTAAATAAACAGTAATAAAATGCACTGTGAGTAGTTTAACTTTGATATTACATGTATTTTAGAGAAAAGTGGCAAAAATGTGTCATACATTTTTTCCCTTGTCACCAAAAGTATGAGCTAAATTATTTATAGTTTGATACTCAGAAAACAGAAGGATTCAGGATATTTACTTTCGGAAAAGAAGGAGACTGAGAGAGTGCGAGCAGATCAGAACACCTTGTTAATTGCATGTGTTTGCTCAGGGAGTCACATTCCGGCCCCAGTGAGAAAGCCAGCTCTTTTCTCATGACATGCGTGCCTAGCAGAGTGCCTGACATGTGCAATATTAGTGGAATTGAACAGATAATGAAAATAGTAGGTAGATAGGTAACTCAATATGCAAACTCTTAAGTCAATAAAAAATCCTCAACCAGCATTTTGGAAAGTGCTCAGCAGTTTGAAGCCCCTTATCCGTGCAGTGTACCCAGTGGTAGCTCAAGGCTCTGGGTTCCCTTGACCTCTAGTCAGGACATAACACTTCTGGGCTGTGTGGATTCCGCCCCACATTCCTTTGGGCTGAGAAAGGCCAGTGACAGGGGCCACCCAAAGGACTTCTCATGGGGTCTTAGGGTGGGTGGTGAGATTCAGGTGTCCTATCAGAGTGGCTTGACAAGATCTTGCATTTGCCATAATTGGAATATGACACATCTTCTGTACTTGGGAGAGTTGCATGGACTTTCACTTCCTCTGCTGCAGGAGATGTTGGCACACCTGAAACCATGGCCCCTGTCATTGTGGTTCCCCCAGGCAACCGAAGTGTGGTAGCTGGGGCCAGCGAGATCACCTTGGAATGCATAGCCAATGCCAGGTAGGTGGCTAGTCCTCCACATGGGGATGCTAATCCACAATGACTGGGTGCGGTGACTGTCCAGTGGAAGGACACGTGACAGTGGGGTTCGCTCTTCTAGCAATGGTGGTCTTCTTTTCCAGCCAGTTATGAGCACATATCTGGGAAGACAGGGAACTGGATTCCCAAGCCTTGTATTTGATGTTCATATTCAATATAACGTCTATATCGGAAAGGGTGCTTTTCCAGTTTAGCCATCAGTGGTAGTGGAGGCCTCCTCTGAGATGCTAAGGAGGAGAGAGCAGTTGAGGCCTTTGGGTGCCAAGAAAAGACTTAATGCCTCTTCTCCCCTGTAGCCTAGGTGTTCTCAGCCTAATTAGCAGTTGCTCCGAATTGATCTCCCAGGATCACACCCCCCATGGAGCCGCATCCCCCCCCCCCCTAGTGGCATTTACTTTAAACATTCTTTCCCTGAGCAAATGGAATCATTAGAGCTGATGGTCCATTGCTGCAACAATTAGCTATGCTTGCTCAATAGCCCTTGAGCAGAATATATGGTCAATGTTCACCCAAGGGAATAGTCATATGTGGATTGATTTTTAAATGTCCATTGTTCAACCCCCATGGCTCCTGATAGAATTGGCTTTGTCATACTTGTGCTCAATGCCTGAAATTATTATTACTGCCACCTTCATGACTCACGTTGTCACCAATGCCTTCTGCTCTCACAGGCCTGTTGAGGAGCTGAGCGTGAACTGGAAGAGGAATGGGGTGAGGATCACCAGTGGGCTCCACAGCTTTGGGAGACACCTCACCATCAGCAACCCGACATCGGCAGACACCGGGGTGTATGTCTGCGAGGCAACACTAGGAGGGAGCCCTTTGGAGCTGGCGAGAGCAAATGCCTTTCTTTCTATCATAGGTAATGCTCAGCCAGCAGGGGTGCAGCCAGCACCCTTGGTGGCCATGTGCATGGACACTCCACACACACAACACAGTAACACCTATATTGCACCAACTTTATTTTTAACTCAGCAAATGGAGACAAAGTTGAGTCTCTCTTCTAAATCCATCCTATTCTTCTTTTCCAAGAATATAAACCCATTAAATCCAAAGAGCTAATGTTCTGAATATTTCCCAGAAATGCTCCCCTGAATACTTCTGATGTAAAGTTTGTGGTAGAGTGGTGAAGTCCCTATATGTATCAGTTCCCTGTGCTGGTCTGTCTGCCACTGCACTGTTGTAACTCCTGTTTGACCATTACAACCAGGGTTCAGAGATTATTCTATTACAGTTATTATTTTGTCCCAGAAGAAAGTTAGAAACTGTTGGATGTTACCTTTTATTAAATTAAAAAGTGAAAACAGGGATGCTTCCAGAACATGAGCCAAGCGTCATTCCTGAACCAAGGAGAGTGAGGAGATAAAACTTGGCACATGTGAATTGCTCTCAATGCTGGAAAATATCTGTGTTAGGAAGTGCATGTGGTACAGCAGCTAAAGGAATCCTCAGATTGTGTTCAGATCATGATAAGATACTAAGTTGTGAGGCAAGAGCCCTTTTTTCTCATTTTTTCATTTCCTATCATAGTTTTAGTCTCCTTAAGTGGCTGTGATCACTACTGTAGTGACCTGCCTGGCAGGGCGGTGGCCACTGCAGATAAGAGGTGTCTTAGAGATCGGCTCCTGGATGTAGAAACTCTCCTCTCCTCTTCAGGAGGAAGGGGAATCGAGAACAGTAAAGGTCAAAGAAGCAGACAGTCCTCGGGGGAGCACATGGCTCCGCACATAACATGTTTTGCAGTTTGTCACTTGGCAATCTAAGAAAAAATGAAAGCTTATATTTTCACATGAAATTAGCAAGTGTATCAAGAAATACTGCATGAAAGGCAGTTGGCCTTGAGTATCTCAAATTCCTCTAAATCATTAGGAAATGGCTCTGCCTAGCACCGGCCATGCACACCTGTCAGCCCTCTGAACTAAGTGTGAGGGTTACGAAGCATCAGAGGGAAAGCAGGCTTTGAGTCCCAGACCACTGTCGATTTTAACTAGGGATCCGAGTGGGAGCTCTTGCCTCCTCACTCAGCCGTGCAGAAGCGAACACTGCATCCCCATTCCCCGCGAGACTTCCCATCAGGCTGATCCTTAATTATATGAACAAAGCACATTACAGATTGGACCAAAATTAAAATTTGTGATGTGTAAATCTCTCATAGACAATGCTATATTGTGTTAAAAAAATTTAAGGTAATTTAAACAAGAGAAGAAATATGTCTCCCTGTATACTAAAATATTTGTTTCCATTATTGTTTCTTTTAAAACTACTTAAATCTATCATATGAACTTTGGCTTGGCATTTATATCTGAATCCCAAAGCAGATAGCTTCTGTATTCCCTCGAGTCGCCACTGTACTGCCCTGGCTTTAAGGGACACACTTCACTTCTTTATGGTGTTGATTCACTTCCCATTTTATTTGTGAGTGTCTGCTGGGACAGGTAGGATTCTGTGGTGGAGTCACCCTGAGAAGCCCTGAGAGTGCCTCTGTCGATTCAGAGTGGTCTGGGAGGTGATGAGCCCAGCCCAGGGAAGGGCAGGGGCCTTGGGAAGCAGTGCGGCCAGTTTCACGGTGTTGTCACTGCCACCAGCGGGGCTGTGACAAGAGCCGTCATGTGGGCATGCAGATGAAAGAAAGCAGACTCATGTGCTTTCAGTCACTTTTATTTCGTGCTGACGAGACAAGACAGGCGGGTTGGGGCTATTCACTCCACCTGTCAACCTCCGGCTATCTTGCTTCATCTCTGAGGTTTAAGCAAGCACAGGGTCTGACTATAGCCAACTGCCTGCTCAAGGGGCTCAGGTGACCCTCCACAGGCAGGGAAAGCCAGCCTCCTGTCCTCCCCCACCTGACTTCCTCTTCGTTCTCTGCTTTCAAGGATTCACCCAGGGCTTCCTAGATCTTCACCATGTGGTAAGGTGAACAACCTTCAGCGCAGCCTCCAAGGCCTTTCACCCTGCTCTCCGGCGTACTCACTGGGTGCAGGGACTCGGGGACACAAGGGCGGGCGCCTTGGGGGCCACTGCCCCATCACATGGGACATGGATACCCAAGTGTGGGCTTTGAATGCAAGTCAGGGGCTGCTCCCTGAGGTGGGGCTCTGGAGGGCAAGGCAGGAAGATGGGATGTCCTCCGACTTGCAGTCAGCCCCACTCAGGTCAGGCCCTGCAGCTCAGATGTTGGGCTCTGGGCAGAAGCTACAGCCCAGGTCAGGGCCAGGAGAGCCAGAGGAGCCTGGGTATGCGTGGGCTGCTGCATGACCACCTCCATGGGGCCAGAATGGGCAGCTGATGTGCTGACACTTTGGAGAGTGGGGGATTGGGTAGAAGCCCTGGTTTGGGCTTCCTGGGAGGTACCCCACCTCCAGTTCTGAGACTGGGGGGCTTCTGCTGACGTGGGTGGCTGCCCTTGGCACCCAGCAGAGGTGAGCAGTGATTAGCACGGCTGGCCGTTTCTTAACAGTCCAGTTTCACACAGAGGATGAGACATTTTCCTGATGTCTTCGTACTGTTTCAAAAGGGATAAAGTCTTCGTTTCAATCCCGTTTTATTGGCTGCAATCGTGATAAGTTTCTAAAAGTCCAGGCTGTACCTATGCTGGCAGTGTACCCTTTCTAGAAAGAGTTACTGCCGATTAGCTAACACATGCTCCTATCTATGCACAAAGCAACTCACTCATAGCAGATTTTCCCCACTGTTCAGTTCCCAGTCTTTCCATGGTTGGTATGCCTGGTACTCCCTCCCATTTTTCTCTTTGTGGCTTGCTATGTGTAAAAGTAGCTGAGGACCAAGAGGAAAACAATCTTCCAAGCACCTATTGAGTTAGGTTAATGTGAAGTGTCAGCATCAAGAGAAACTGTAACATATGTAAGGTGGGGGAAAGTAAAACCATCAGAGGCCGCATGGGCCTTTCTGGGCCCTTGGCAGCTCCACACCCACTCTGGTTGCTCAGCCCCCTGGTGAGCGTTTAGGAACGAGGCAGGAGCACCAAAAAAGAAACAGACATGCTCTGCCTGTGCCGTCCTGGCCTTCCTGGTTTACTAAACTCCCTCGGCCCAGAGGAAAGAGACAATATTTTGCAAACCCTGGCAGGCCACCCCCCAGACCAGGCCTAGGGACCCCAGCAGCTGTGCATCGGTGCCACGGGGTCTGTGGGGCTGGTGGGTTTGTGCTAAGCTCCCATGGGGACTGGCTGACAGGAGCGTGTGGGTGTCTCCAAGGACACAGGCCTGGAGGTTCCCTGTGAACCCCAGTCTCAGAGCCGCCTCTTGGCTCAGCCTGAGCCAGCTTTGGGTCACTGTGTGAAGAGCACCCATCATCTCTGACCCTCAGGGTGGAGGGGCATTGGACATTGCAGAGCAAGACAGAGCAGCACCATGACACTGGCCATTGTACCAGGTGCATTCATAACCAGTGCCTCACAGAAGGCTGTCTGGTCTGGTAGATGGCAAATGTTTATATGTATGGATTTTTATTATCAAAGTGGAACTCCACTTGGATGAATCTCAAGGGAATTAGGCTGAGTGAAAAAAGCCAATTTCAAAGGCTATATAACGTATGATTTCCTTTATATAACATCCTTGTAATGACAGAATTAGGAATGGAGAACTGAGGTGCGGCTGCAGAGGTGCCTAGCGGGACCCTGGGGGGCAGCGTGGAGGATCCTGTGGGCTGGCCCAGCTCTGCATCCTGACTGTGGAGGCATGCCAAGCTGTATTACCCTCATTTAACACAGACCCACATGAGTGAGCACTGCAGAGAACCTGCATGCCGCTGCACGTACACACATGCCACACACACGCACACGCAAAACTGGGGAGACAGGAACACTATAGGTCGCCTGCTTCACTGTCAACGTCTTGGTTGCGATGTTGGCCTGTAGTTTTACAAGATGCCACCATTGGGTAAAACTGGTAAAGGATACATAGGCCCTTTCTCCATTAGTTCTTAAACTTCTTGGAACTCCACAGTAACCTCAGAATGAAATGTTCAACTTGAACAAAGAAAATGGAAATTAATGACAGGTAGATGCTGATGTTTTAACTTGACTGTTTTCCTTTCCACTCACACATCTTTAAACAAATCATGGCAGCTGATACTGACTTTAGCATCACTGATGAATATGGGCATGGCCTGCACACAGGGCCTTCACAGGATGCAGCCACAGTACAGTTAGAATATAAATACTGCTGCTGCCATCATTACTACTGATGAAGAAATGCAGCTGGCTATGAATCTGTGAGTGTGCAGTGAAAACCAGCTTGAAATGGGGAGTATTAACTCTTTGCCATTTCTCTTTAGGCCTGGTCTACACACTCGCAAAACGGAGTAGAGGGTTCTGCCTCCATCTAGTGAGTCTGCAGCCTCAGCCAGAGTGAATCATTCTGGCAGTTTGCTTCTGCTCAAGTGATCCAAGTGACTGTGGAAGTGATACCTAACTTTGCCTCCACAAGAAACCTTTTCTCCTTAATCACTTCTCTGAAATGCTAAGTTCTCATTTCTCTTTTTTCTCTTTAAGGTTCCACCCTGTTTTAAAGATACAGTCAATATAGGAGGCATGCCAAGCTGTATTACCCTCATTTAACACAATTACGGTGAAACTAAACCACTCTGGAAGACAGTGCCCAGAAATTAATTATCACACAGAAAGTGAATATAGCCGCCTTTTGCTATTATGATAATAAAATCGCTGCCACCTTAATCCTCAAGGCACTTGGCCATGCCATTGTTGAATTTCTCCTGAATAAACTGGGAAAAATATTGCAATTTACTCTTCAAAGAAATTCATTGTTTCATACAACCACTCTTTCTCCTTTTGAACAGGGGAGTGGAACGTCCAAAGATAGCAAATGTTAGAGGAATTTTCTCTGCTACAAAAGCTGAATGAGAGTTCCATTCCCTTTCTTCTCATAACTAATGTTTTGCATTCCATGAAAGTGTTAAATCTATATTTCAGAGAAGACAGACTGTGAAGACTTTAAAAAATATGTTAATAGGCTACCTTGCTCTCTGATATAGGCTGGGAGTCTGGCTGTGGTGCTTTATTTGACATGCTTCATGAGTTGGTGTTTAGTTAAGATACTGAAGCCAACTAGCCTATAAAATACTGTGCTGTAAATATAAACCTTTACGGACCTCTTGGGATAGTCCTTCTAAACTGTGAGTTAAGATATTCCATGACTCAAGCCCATAGACTGAAAAGTGGCCATAGCCCTGAGTAGTGATTTGCTTTCTGAAACCTTAAAGTATAAATTGCCTTTGGCTTCTGCTCACTGAATTCTGAGTTTGTGTGTATAGTGACAAACTAAAAAAGTTTTCAAAATAGTTTTCAAAAGGAGTGCAAATTCTTTTAGCTGTAAGGGTCTTCTCTAAAATACACCTTTCACCTACAGGCTCTTTTGTTTTTTTCTTGTTTAAAGAGCCACCATATTTTACTGTAGAACCTGAGAGTCGGATTTTCGCAGAAGTGGAAGAAAATGTGGACATCGTATGTCAAGCCATGGGTGAGTATGGGGGGGCCCCCAAACCAGCAGCCGTGAGATGGAGGAGCAGGGCAGAGCCGCCACGGTCACAGGGACCCGCTAAGTGTGATGTTTAGAGCAAGGTCTTTAGTGTGGAGCAGAACTCAGTCCCAGGATGTGCAACCTTAGGGAAGGCATTTGACATTCCTCACCTGCAAAGCAAGGGTAGTGATATTCACCCAAGGGGACGACAAGGAAGCCCTGACCCCATCCGCCTGTCCCAACAGAGAGGTGGCATCCTGTCCTCTTGGCTCCTTCACAGCCTTGTCAGCGCCTGGGGCTGGAGATTCATCCTCACCCATTGAGTGACTGGGACTGGGGACCACATCTCCTTTGTAGGAAGAGAGATTGTTTCAGATCCCTTGAGTAGGAAATCTTCTCTTTTTTCTGCCTTTTCATCTTTGGGCCAACTTTTTTGTTTTTCAGGTAATCGCCCCCTTATCCCCATGCCTTGATTACTAGCTGTCCACTGTCACCATTTCATGTCACACAGCACAAATAATTATAGGAAGCCTCCCAGCAGAGACAGGCTTTTTAAGGCAATTTCATTAACAAAAGCTATGTTAGTGCTCTGGAGATTGTCAAGAAATGAAAAGGACATTTTTTTTAATGTTAGTATCTGTCCATGTTAAGGGTGGGTGTTTTTTTCTAAGAGCTTGGATGGTAAGGATTACTAACAATTTTGTAAATCTTCAAAACAGCTCTGTAAGAGACATATTATCTCACTGTACACATACAAAAATAAAACCTTAGAAAGCAAAGTTAAGGAGCGTGCTCAAGGCCCAGAGCTAGGCAGATGAAAGGAGACGCTTCCTACAGTCACCCATCACGGGTGTCTGGCACGTGGAAGTTGCTCATTAACTGTGGGACAGGTAGCTTACCTGGGATCACATGGTGATGGAGGCAGAGCCATCAGCTCCAAAGCAAGCACTTTGGCCAGGAGGCCCAGCTCCTCCCGGAGAATGGAGGCCCTGAAGCTTAGAACAAGCTCCATTCATCGGTAGGTACAGGCATGTCAGTTCTCATTTCTGAAAAGCAGTGGTGGTGCCACTCTGAAGAGTACTGATAGTCAATGTAGAGATCAGCGACTAGCCCTGAGTCCCTGCCTCTGTCCGCTGGGCTTTGTGCAGAAACCACTTCTGCCACGAGATGCATTTCCCTAGTGTTCCGATTCTCATCCCCTTGTCAGCTGGCAGAGGCTGCTATTTACACATCTGCTCTGTTCTTACTCTCTGCTTTGCCTCTTCTAAGACAGCCAGGAGGGGGACAGGGCAAGAAGAGTAATGTGACTCTTTAATGGAAATATTTTCCTTACTGTGGACACATTGTTCTCTTTCTTGTATAAACAGCAGCTTTTTAAGGTCAACAGCTCTGTGAAAGTGAAGCTATAAAATATTGATAGTGCTTATATTTTAAAAGCAAAGAGTCTATAATACTGCAGGGTTAAGATTTCTGTTTATGACATTAAATTGCCCCCAAATAGAAATACTCCTAGTTCCCAATATGCTAACAGTTATTTTCCAATAAATGATGATCTTAAGCCAAGAGAGGGCTTGTTTCTGCATGCTTTCTGTAAGACAAACTGTTTGTAATGTACAGACATGTAAATATATATTGAACAAGTCTTTCAGCACTGTGCTGCCATCATAGAGTTTACTGCTCTCTTTTAATTTTGACAGTGAAACTATAGCAGTGTGCAAAGTGGTTATTCTTTATGAAAGCTGTATCGTGTCATTGCTAGTATGAGATTTTACATGAACTGTTTATGCCTTTACCTTGAAATGGATTTTTTTAACTTCCTGATTTAATGAAAAGTGACAGAAAACATAATTAAGGTAAAGAACAGACTCTGAGAATACATTATCTTGAAATATTCCATGACATTAACTTTATTTATTAAAGAAGACATCACACACCTACATAGCATCTTAAATCAAGGGACTTTGGTATACTTTTCACCATGGATCTTGTCAGATGTGTTTTATTTAAACTACTTTTGCATTTAGGGAAAAGTACAGAGCCATGAGAGATGTAGAAATGAGCCTAGACATTTCTGTGCTTTTCCCACGGGCCCTCCACAAGCATACGTGTGCCCACCATAGTACAGGACCATGTTGCCTTGGATGTATTGGTCTACTTTGGGGAATAGCCTCTCTTGGCTACCCAATTTATACTTCTTGGGTGATTTGACCTTTCTTGGCATCAGGAAAGGGCAGGGAGAAATCCCAAGGAGGCAGTGTTCCCTACTGGCAGTCACCCCAGTGTCCTGGAAAAGCTGCTAAGAGGAGGAGCCTGGTGTTGCCCCATCAGAGCTTGTCCCGTGCAGGGGGCCACTGGGGGGAGCATTGCTTGCATGCCTCCACACCTGGACACAGGTACTGACCACAGCCGAGTGGGAGATGAACAGCAGAGGCCCTCAAGCTCTCAGGCTTAGGACAGACCCTTCATTTACAGCCCAGCTTCTGACCCTGTGAGCTTCTCCTTCGTCTCCTGCATCCCCAGCCCAGCCCCATCCTCCTGCAGGTGGGCCAGCTGGACCATGCATGGCCTCTGCCTCCCTGACTCCAGGCCTTGGTTTCACTGTCATATGATCAGGATGAGGCCCCGGGGAGCAGCAACTGGATGCTTGTCCTCAATATGACCTCCTTGTCCTTTTGGTCAATCTGGCCATGCTCTGGGCTTAATGGGCTTTGGGGTACAAGGATGGAACCATCCTGCAGCCCCTTCTGGTCATCTGAGGGCCCAGACAACTTTTCCTACATCCACAGTTTAGTGCCATTGTGTGTCCTTAACCCTTAACCAAATGCACCTGTGCACTTGTTACTGAACCTCATTAGTTGCTCCGGTGATGCCACTGATGAAGTGATCTCCAACTCCTCAGACAGAGGGCATTTACAGGTACACGTTTCCACAGCTGCCAGTGGTGATGACAACCCATGATACTATCCTTTGTGCTGGGCACTAAGAGTTTTATATGTATGGATTATGGATACAATCTAATATTCAGAACCTTATGATGTTGTGATGATCACTTCCTTTCCAAATAAAAAGAAAAGGCTTGGGGAAACAGATGAGGATAGGTTTGGTGGGACCTTATCACTGTCCCTGTCTGTGTGAAAGTCAGCCACAGAATCACTTTTTCTCTAGACAAGAGCACAAAATGCTTGCAGGCTCAGGACTCCAGAGGATATGAGCCGGAGAGCCGGCCGTTTGCTTCTGCTTTTGCTCTTGATGCTTCTCTGTGTTGATTTCTTCATATGCGATGAGAAAAATAACACCATACGGGTAGTAGATGGGACTCATAGAGAAAATGCTTATGAAAATATTGCCATTTAGCCTTTGAGTCATTTTTGCCTCAGCCCTCATGTAAGGAATTCTTGAAATTTAATTTTTTTAAGTGTCTGATTATTTCCATTCCTACCAGGGGTCCCTCTTCCCACCCTCCAGTGGTACAAGGATGCTGTCGCCATCAGCCAGCTCCAAAATCCTCGATACAAAATGCTAGCAAGTGGAGGCCTGCACATCCAAAAGCTGCGTCCGGAGGATTCTGGAATCTTCCAGTGCTTTGCCAGTAATGAAGGAGGGGAGATCCAGACCCATACCTACCTGGGCGTCACCAGTGAGTACAGCCCAGAAACCAAGCCAGACAGTCTGCACTGGGCCTCAGGCGGAGCTTCCCAACATCCCCCACCCAGAACGACCACTCAGGAAATGATGGCATCTGCTCTTTCCCTGAGGCCACTGCCCAGGGTACAGTGGCCAGAGGGGGCCAGCTGCATGTAGGTGCACCTTAGCCTGCCTGTCCAGCGTGCTGAAGCCTAGGAGCAGCACACACATCCCGTTGTCCCCCAGCCCCTGGCACCCTCTCTGCTGCTGTGCAAGCCTGATCCTCCCAGCTCTGGGGTTGTCCCCCTCCTGACTGAGGAGGAATAAAGTGCACATTATTCTAAGCAGAACTGGAAGGACTCTAAGTGAACCCCTCCTTCCTAATAGTTTTCTTTTGATCTTTTTCCATTTTTTAATATTCATTCTCTAATTTAGTTCTACTGAGCAATTTTAGTTCTTCTGTGACCTTCTTTTACTATGCCATAGTAAAAGAAGTAAAAATCCAATATCCAATAGAAATACTTCAGCACACGTCTTCAAAAAATAAAATAAAGATAAAGGTTTTCATTGTATCTCTGGGTCTTGTTTTTAGTTTCCCATAGTTGTAATATTGTTCTTCTAAAATGAAATAGAATTTAGTGATTATGGAATTAAACCTTTCATGTTTGCCCTTTTGGAGGCAAAATGCCAATAATTTCAGGAGTGAGAGCCATTTGAGAAGGTGTATCATCATCAGTGTACACATAGCCAGGGTTCTTGTCAGCCAGAACTTAGGAATTCCTGAGACTGAAGAAATATTTAAAAGTTCATCCATATATTTTAGTAAACTAGGGGGCCAATTCCTTGAGCCTTGCTCAGGGGTCAAATTTATCCTCTGGTTTGCAGCATAGGAAACCAATTTGCTTCAAACAGTAGAAATAATACTGGGTACTTAATCCAGAAACTGAGTTTTGATCAATTAGAACTATTTGAAACGTATGTTGCATTTGTGGCCCGGGATGTTATGAGGCAAGGATTAGCAAACTTTTTCTGAGGGGCCAGATAGTAAATAGTTCCAGCTTGAGGGTGGCAGTCTCTGCCCTGCCCCTCTACCCAGCAGCACTGGCCTCTGCTGGAGCAGCGTGAGCAGCAGAGACAGCGAGCTCATGGGCTCGGCTGTGTCCCGGGAAGCTTTACTTGCCGAGGCAACAACAGGTGGAGTTGGGCCCTCGGGCTGAGTTTGCCAACCCCTGCTCTAGGGAAAGAATTACGGGACATTAACTTCTCAGCCTCGGTTTATCAGCAAAATGGAACCAACCCAGCCCAGTTCACAAGGGTTCTTATGAGGATCAGATTGGAAATTTAAATAAAAGTACTACTTAAACGCAAGTGAAACATATAAAAATGATAATGGTAATGCCACCTTACCTGTTTTGTAGGTACAGGATTTTGCAAAATTCTTGTATTTTCAAATTATATCACCTTTAATAAAGGAAAATATAGTATGTAAAACAATCAGTATTCATTCATCTGTTTAACAAACATTTATTGAGCATCTGTGTCAGACTCTCTGGGTCTGTCAGGCTTGAGGACAGAGCTAGAGAAAGAGGGGAGGTTCTCGGGCTCCCAGGATGGAAGGTCCTGGGGCAGGAGAGACAGTAAAGGAGGAGATAATTCTCCTGGAGATGAGTGCTGTGAAGAGAACAGAACGGGCAGGGCGGGCATGACCAGGGAGGTTCCTTCAGAGGGGACGGGAGGGTTCTCTGCGGTGGCCCTGGAGCTGGGGCCCCGAGAGAAAGAGGAGCCTGCCGTGGTGTTGGGGAACAGGGGACTGTAAGTGTCTCAGAGGGACAAGCTTGGCTAGAAATGTACTTAGGGAGAAAGGAGGCAGGGGTGTTTGCAGCCTGAGACAAGCAGGGAGCCCTGGTAGGCCCTAGGCTGGAGGGGGAGCAGGGGCAGAGGGAGGGGGAGGCCTTGGGGCTGTGAGCTGGGGAGTGGCAGATTTCCATGTACAGCTTTCCAAGAGCACCAAAGCTGGGGGCAGATGGCCGTGAGGGGAAGAGTGGAAGGCTTGAGACCAGTTAGGAGGAGTCATCCAGGGGGAAGAAGCGATCAGCTCCGGGGGTGCTTTGAGGCAGAACCAACAGGACTTACTGGGCTGGAGGATTCCCCCCAGGTGAGAGCAGAGCCAGAACTGGGCCTTGGGCTCCCGGAGTCCTGCCCACTTCTTCCCCTCAGGGCACCAGCCCACAGCAGCCCTCACACAAGACTGGGGAGAAGCAGATCACTGGTGTTCAGGGATTTCCAGCTGAGTTGTTAGCAAAGTAGTGCGAAGTGACAGGAGCCCTCGCTGAAGCCAGCCGGAGCTGCTCTGTCCTCTCGGTCTGACTCAGGGCTGTGGGGCTGGAAGCCCACGCAGTTCCCTGTGAGCCAGAAGAGCCCCCAATGCTCGGGGCCCTCAGCACTTCCCAGAAATCAATGTAGTCCTCAAAATCTGGTCATTGTAACTATCAGAACAAATCTAGAATATGTGTAAGTGTCATCTTTTAGATGATTCTTAATATTCAAAGCTTAGCTTTTTCTAAATAGTGCAAGCAGCTTCTTTGGTTTAACTAAATGAATGTCTCTCCTCTATTTAATATTCAATTAACACAACTCTTCCTGGGCCCCTGCACTGTCCCTGCTATGTGCCCATTACATCACCAGATTGTATTTCTCTTTAGGTTGTAAACACAGAAAGGCAATTCCTGGGAGATGGATAATGGAAGGCTGTAGTCACTCCTGAAAGATTTTCGTTTTTTATCACCATAGCTATCTCTGTGATTAGTTCTATAAAAGTCCATATGTGCTATTCCTCTGGGCTGGTTTGAACATTTCTGAGGGACAATGTGCTGAACATTTCACTGTTTAACTTCTCGCTTAGATGTTGCACCAGCATTTACTCAGCTTCCCGTGGACACCACCGTGACCGATGGGATGACAGCCATTCTGAGGTGTGAGGTGTCCGGGGCCCCCAAACCTGCCATCACATGGAAGAGAGGTAGGTGGCTTGTGTCAGCCCCAGCAGCATGGCCAGCACAGAAAATGAGGTCATTGGCTGGGTTTTACTGGTCTTATTTTCACTCATTCCTTCAATGAAGATTGATTAGCAATTTACAGAGCACCTACCAGGTGCTAGATGCCCCAGATACCAGGCTCAGTGAAACAGGCAAGACCCTATAAGCATCGTGGAGTTTACCATCTAGAAAAGGAAACAGGCATTTTTTAGAATGTGTGACTATCAGTTTCCTCCATCTAAGTGCTTCATAGGGTAACTAAGGCCTCATGAGGCTCCTTAAAATACTAGGAATTGGATTCAGAATAGCACTGCCAGGACTCAGTTTCCCCATTTGGGAAACGGAGAAGTTCTTACCTGGTAATGTTTAAAATTAAGAATAATGTGTCCCCCCCCCCTTTTTTTAAGAAAGAAAGATGCCTATGATGTACACCTGAAATTAATAGGATATTGTATGTCAACTATAAACTAATAATTGTATGTCAATTATATTTTAATAAAAAATCCAAAAAAACAAAATGATGATTTGAAAACTCAAAGTCTGAAGCATTCATGGACAAAGACTCAAAGGGACCTTTTAAGATGCCTTCTCTGTGTGTAATTTAACAGAGCTACATAGGGTAAAACTTGACTCAAATAAAAAGAGAGAAAGAAATGCTTATACACAGGCTCATTTTTGTCCTCCCCGGTCTGACACACATGATGATCTAATTCCAGCTGCTTTCAGGGCCTGTGAAGAGTGATGTCACGCACAGGCTTTCTCCGTAGTTCCCACAGCCCCTTCTACAGGGTGGAGACAGTCCCTAAATGGACGGCACACAAAGTCCATCCTTAATAGATCCATGCTGAATTGTACCAGTTCACATCAATTAACTGGTCACACCTGGTGGACTATCCCTGGGTGAGTCCTCAAAACTTCCTGCTACCCAGAAACCACATGGTGGCTTCTCAACTCTCAAAGGTCTAATCCATGCACGCAGAACATAGCTTATAAACATAAAGATCTGGGAAACTCAGACTGATAAGAAGGAGAGGGGATTCTTCTATTTTATTTATTTTCTTTTCTTCTATCCTGACATAGAATGTAATGATACCTTATATAGATATTCTTCTAATAAAACCATCACCTGAAGATAACAACTGCACATGGGTCATAATTTCTCAGTATTGTACAGTTGGGATATTCTTGGTTTCCATTATCCTAAATGATGCTAAAGGAAAGTGTTTGGTTGTTTCGTACATAAAGTTTTCCTCTTACTCTGATTGTTTCCTCAAGTTATTTTCTTGGCTGTGGCTCCAAGTATTACCTTTTTTGAGCGTTATGGTCTTATTCCTGTTTTCTCTACTGTTCTTCAGGAAAACACATTCTGGCCAGTGGCTCTGTGCAGATTCCTAGGTTCATGCTCCTTGAATCCGGGGGTCTACAGATAACCCCTGTCTTCATCCAGGATGCTGGCATCTACACCTGCTACGCAGCCAACACAGAGGGATCCCTGAGCGCGTCCGCAGCTCTGACCGTGTGGAGTAAGGACTGTGGCCTACACAGAAGAGCCTTCTGCTCACACGCCACCCGGGCTGTGGGGGTATCAATAAGCTCCTGGACTCCCCAGCTCAATCAAAAGAGAATGGTTATTTTTACAACTAATTTGTAGAAATCTGTTGACTAATTTTTCAGTTTCTGAAAGAATAATTAGAACATGTATTCAAAGATTTAACAGGGATGTTTCAGGAGAAATGAAAGACTGACTTTATAAAGTCAGTAGAGCCAGGGATATTTATCCCAAACTAGCCCAAATAACAAAACTGACAGGTTGGTTAATTTTATGAGCATTACATAAGAAAACGGACTCAAGAATTATGCTAGAGAAAGTGTATTTTTCCTGTACCATCCATCATCACCAGCAAAAGCTGGTGTCTCAGTATGAACGTCTCCTTCTAACGTACATTAGAAGTGAGCTAAGGAAATAGCTTCGTTGCTTCTCCAGCTTTTGTTTCCTCCTTTTCTATCTGCAACATAGGTGTCTGAAGTCCAGAATAAATTGTTTTCCAGAGCATGAGGGATTAGATTCTCAAGTACTTCTGCCCTCTGGCACTCCCACCCCACACTCTATTGTCAGGGTACTTTTTCCTCTCAGCTTCATCCATATCTATATTACTAAAAGATCATTGCTCAAAAGCAAAAGACACTGCTCACTAACAGATTTTCATAAAGCTATCTATATGAGGAAAGAAAATTTTAAGTTGTATGATTAAATAATTTGTTAAAATACTTCCCTTGAAGAAAAACTAAATTATTGTGCTTTATTTCATATCCTTTAACTTTTTCTATGATATAGTTGATGCTGACCTTGATAAACAACCCTTTCTAATTTATCAGGTGTCCTAAAAATACCGTGAGTTTAAAAGAAATGCATCCAAATTCCCCCAATACTGTCAAGTATTAAAAAATAGATTTTCTTCCATTTGGTGGTTCACTCTACCTACTACACCTGCTTCATCATGTGTCCATAAAAATGAACCACATATTTATAAGCTTAGGAAGTACTGATATCTGCATCTGTGTAGCACACTCATCAGAAAAACTTGTAGACCTGCTAACATTCAAAACTATAACCATTCTAGAGCAATTGGTACAACACTGTGGCCGGCAGACCGTTTTCCCAAACACTGCCTACTTTCTGCTGTACAGATGTGAATGATGGTAGCGTTCCCCTCTCATGGACAGGCAAACTAAAGCTCCAGGGTGTTTTCCCAGACACCCTGCTAGCAAGCATCAGACTGGCCTTAAACTTAGTCTTGTAACTCAAAGTCCCTGGTGCCAGAGCAGCGTCTATCTCAGATTTGTGCAGTGTGGAGACACGTGACACAGGGCTGTCACCAGGGCTGTTTCCGTGGCAGCTGTGGAGTGTGGGGCAGCTGCAGGTCAGACGGTGTTCCCAACCAGCATTAGCACCAGGTCCCACACTTTACACGGGGCAAGCCGCTCCCGCTGAGCATCACTTTTCCTTCCTGAAACCTGGGGGTAGTGATATCACAACCTCACGAGGTTGTGGTGAGGATTAGATAAAACAGTGGAATGAAAGCACTTTGCAAAGTCATGAAGGGCTATGTGGACAGTAGAAATTACCAGAATGTTGACTATCTTGGGAAGTAATAAAGATTTTTACCTGAGAGTATAGAGCCTCATAAATATTTGCCTATAATCATTTGCTCCAGCATGTAGAGGTTCAGGGATGACCTGAGAGGGACAGCAAGCTGGACTTCTTTTGCTGCAGACAGAAAGGCTTGCTTTCAATTCCCCACATGTTTCCCAGTGCTTCCCTGTACACTGATTTTGTCCAAATAAGAGAAAACTTGCAGGTTTTGATATCAGATGACCAATTCATCATCCCCTGAGGGAGGAAACTCTCAAGTATGTAATTTTGTCTGAACTGTGACTTGTGTTTTTACAGATCGAACATCCATCGTTAACCCTCCCAAAGACCGCGTGGTGATCAAGGGGACCACAGCCACACTGCACTGCGGAGCCACACATGACCCCCGGATCTCTCTCCGGTCAGCTCAGTAGTTAGCTGGGGACTCACTAATATTCTGTGGACTTAGGAAGTGAAGTGGAGATGAGAAGGGGAATTTTAGGGACTTTGAATTCAGCCCAGATCCCTGATTACAGCATATTACGGTCACGGGCTCCATCATTAATCACACAAATCCCATTTTCCACCCCAGCCTTATGTATTATTTACAGTGAACTATGTTCCACTTCATGACTTCAATGCAGCTTTTCATGATTTTTCTGCCAAGGTTAATACACTATCTATAAAACGTACTTGTCAGAGGCTGATACTTAATGAGAGAAAAATCCAGAGGGATTGAATAGGATTTCACCAGTGTTTACAGTTGAGGCTGAGCAATACTCAAGAGGGGGCTTCTCTGCTCCAAGGATAGTTTCCTCGTGAAATGGAAGAGGGAGGCGCCCACACAGAGGGGAAGCAGACACAGCTGCCCAGTGCATTAACAGGCAACAGGAGAAGAAGAAAGTGGGTAACGAAGACTCACTAAAGGAATTGTAGTATCCCACCTTTGGGTTCAGATGGGAAGGTAACGATGAAAATTATTACACTCTAGATAAAATAAATGCAATGGCAGCAAACACAGGGGACTGTTGGTGGCAAGCTTCTTCCCAAAAAGCTGCCACTTTCAGAACAGGTAGATCTTCAGAATCAGCCTTGAAAATTAATCTAAAAAGAAAAGATACAATCATCCTAGTATTTTCATTCTGGCCTTAGCCCAAAAGGCATGCAGTTAAACCAAATGGATAGAATCAATATGCCTTCCTTCTTTCTGGAACATTTCACTCTGAGCAGAGGGAGATGGCTATTGATGCATACATTATTAACTGGATTCAGAGACTAAGCTGTTTTCTCACTCTTCTAGGGCAAACTGTGAGTTTCCATATCTCCACCTGGCTCTCTGAAGTTCCCCAAAGCTCAGAAATAAAGTTCAGTTTAGTTACAAGAATGCAGAATGCAAAGCAAGCAAACAAAAACTAACAAGTTAAAGATTACCTGGAGAATCCTCAGAGACTGTCTTAGAGAGAGTTACCGTGCCCGGGAAAGAATTTTTCCTTTCTGAAGACCTGGGAATGTGATTGGAGAGAATGAAAGGCAGATAAGGCTGGCTTCCTGCTCCTCTAGGTGTTCTCAAGGAATCCCTTGGATCTGCGTGGTTTTCTCAGAGATCTTTATGTGTGATTAATCAGAGCCTTCTGCCTGGGAAGGAACTAGATCGTTCCCTCTCGGGGCTCCTCTGGTCCCAGGGTTTCTCTGCCCTGAGGAGCACAGCCTCTCAGCGACAGTCACAGCTGAGCACTGAACCCCAAAGTGAGCAATTTATTCACTTCCTTCTGGGGAATCAGCGCTGCTGCCTCAGGGTAATGGTAATTTTATATAAGCAGTTTGTAAATGTCTGTGCTCTATGCACATTAACTTTTAAAGAACTGGGTATATTTTTAAAATCCAAGCAAATTATTTTGGAAAGGGAAGCCAGCACTTCTCATCCCGTAGCGGAGAGAAGAGGCCCCACCCACTGACATCCAAATACTAGACAGGCTGTTAAGTCTTCATTTGAAATGGAAAATGTGCTAAAATTGTCATTAAAAAATTAAATAAAATTGAATTAATTAAAGAAAGAAATGCAATTTTAAGGACAATCTGCCAGAATGGGGTGTGATCTATTTTTTTTTTCCACAAGTTGAGTAATTCCACTCAGTATTTTTTTAAACAGTCACTGCTTCCCATTCAGACAACAGCTCTTGCCCTTCAGGAACATTCCTGGAGGAGAATGTAAAGTGCAGTTTTAGTAAGTGACAGGTCTGTCCATGACTCTACAGACTTGCCATCTAAACCCAGAGACCAGACGGATGTTTCCAGGCATCTCTACTGCCCTGTTGTTAACAGCTATATTTGCATTATGACCAAGATATCTGGTTGCATTCCCTTTTTCTTTTCTTTCTTCTTTAAAGATATAATTCACATATCATAAAATTTACCCTTTAAAAGAGCACAGTTTAGTGGTTTTTAATACATTCACAAGGTCGCCAGTTTCTTGCTTTTTAACAGGCGGGAGGATCAGCAGCCCAAGCTCCTAATGCAAGGCCCTTAGCTTGATACTAACTCTGATCTTTTCCAACTCAAAATTTTGCTCGGCCCACAGCTACATCTGGAAGAAGGACAGCATGGTCATCAGCCCATCTAGCAGTTCCAGAATTGTGGTGGAGAAGGGCGGGTCCCTCCTCATCAGCCAGACGTGGTCAGGTGACATCGGGGACTACACCTGTGAGGTCGTTTCTGAAGGAGGGAACGACTCCAGGACAGCCCGGCTGGAAGTGATGTGAGTGTGGCAGCTGTTCAGGGTCACCATCTCCTGATTACCCGCATCGTTACGGCCAGTCACCCCCTTCCAAGTGACGTTACTTAGCATGTAACAGTCACACTGGGTCCCAGCCTGCAGTCAGAGGCCCCTGCCTTATGCCTCCACAGGCATATACGCTTGTGGAGGTATTTTTTGTAACCTCGGTTTGACTATTGACTTCCATCCTCATCGATCTCTTTTTATCATATTTCCCCCTTGGCACTATATTATGATGGACTGTATTTGCCACATTGCACATAAGTCACACAATACATCCACTTTTCCATTTAATGCCCATCAGAACTTCTGATCAGCGAGCAATGTCAGGCAGCCCACTGAGGTAAGACTGTCCGGTGAAAGTCACTGGGGCCACGCAGTGAGGTCAGTGCCGCTGCCTCCCTGCGGGCACAGAGACACTTTCCATTAAGTCTTTTGAGATCCTGCAGATAGCAGGCAGCTGTCCATTAGTTCTAATCTGGGCCTTCCTGGGGGTCCAGAAGACCTGGTGGGAGACTGTCCATCTCTTCTACCTTTGCGTTTTTACATGACCCTCTGTCTGCTTGTGGCAGAGAGGTGAAAAGCTAGCTAAAAATGTTTATTTTTCCAACATTTATTTATTTGTTTTTAAAATGGTGCCCTCCCAGATATTCCAGGGACATATGTACAAAAGTAAGCCTGGAAATAGGCACAGAAGGGCTGGCGTCACGGTTGCAGCCAGCTCAGGGGCACAGGCAGCCCTCCCTGGCTAGCACAGGACATGCTGGGCCACTGGTAAAGGCTGTTCTGAGAAGATTTTCTTACTGGGTTATGCCTACCTCATTGTAGGAAGGATTCTATAGGCAGAAATCATTCCCTAAAAATAGAATCTGAACACTGAGTACAGGGCCAGTTTTCATGTGTCTTTGAATCCCTAGACTCCAGCCGACAGAATTATAAATGAAAAAATACTTGCTAAGTGCTCAGCACGTGGGCTCCTGTGTTTGTTCCATCCATACAGGATGACAGACAAGCAGCTCTCTAGCGGCCACTGTCTGTGGCGTCTGAAGGGGTAGTAACAGTGGAGGGATAATGCGGTAGCAGCTGGTTCAGAAAGGCCTGGTGCTGTGCCTCCATGACCTGAAAAAAACCCACCTTACCTGCTAGCTGGCCTCTCTGCAGGCTGACCCCTTGCTCTCTGTAGAGGTGGTCACAGGCTAGGAGGAAAGGTCGCCCTAGGGAGTCATGAAATAACAGATGTCTCAAGTCTGAGAGGGTCAGCAAGGGGCCTGGGCACTGCAGCCAAGAGGCCCTCCAGCTTGGACGTGCTCGTGGAATTGCCAGGTCTCTGCACTGACCTGCTGTGGGGGTCTGTGCCTGGGCTGATACAGTCTGTTCTCCCACTTAGCCACTGGACCACTGACTGGCCCTTTCTGCCCTTCTCTGCCCCCTAGCTCACCCTCCAAAAGACTTAACATTTTCGGCTGTCTCCCCCTGAAGGATTCATCTACCCTTCCTGCCACTGGGCCACTAGGGTGGCTCTCACAGAGCTTCCCAGCACATGCAGCCATCAGTCCTCCATCAGAGCACTGATGATCCAGGGTGGAGGCGCCTATTTTCATGATGCCTTCCCTACTGACCAAGAAGGGCCTGCATGGCATTCTCACGCTTTGCATTCTCAGTGCCTGACAGTGTTTGGTACACCATAGGCCCTGTCTAAGTGCAAGACAGTTGGTTGGCATCTGAGTAAATGTGAGTGTGTTAGGGGCCATGGGGGGTCCTCCTGCTGGCTGTACCTTCCCTTTGAAGCCCACATGCCTTGGGCTCAGGTCACACTGCCAAGAGTCTGGGCACCTAGCACCCAGCCCTTGCTCAGCTGTGGTCCTGCGTCTTTCCCTCTCCCATCATGTGAGGAATCTTTTTTTTTAATTTTTATAGTATTGGAGTACATGACCAGCAAATCCACGTAATCCACTGTGCATTCACATTTTTAAAACTACCTTTGAGAACTCTTAGTCATCTATCATTGGTATCAAATAACTAAGTGTTAGAATTTCATAAAGACTCTGTCAGCTGAAGCCAAATTGCACACTTTCAATATAGAACATTCTTTTTATTCTGTGCAGTTATTATGTTCTACTGATTTACATATCTTTCCTACTATTTGCTTATTTGATTTCCTCTGACTAAAATACATTTTCAGCAAATGTTGCTATATCTATAAAATAATAGGCTTTCTGTAATGGTAAAACACCTTATCTCTAAATATAGAAATATTTGCAGATTTGTGATTCAAACCAATTTAGGTACAACTGGTTACAGAACTGATTTGGAAGACAGTTGCTTCTCGTGAATTCTGAGTATAATAAATACTCCACTCTTCTAAATCTGAATGGATTGGGGAAGTTTTAGGTCATAGTGTGGTGCATCTTAGATCCAAATAGGTCTTAACTCTACGACATCAGTAATGACAATAGTGATGACAATCATCATAACTCATGGTTGCAGGCTATTTGGTGCTTCCCACACAACTTTCAAATCAAGCTCCACAACATTTCCATGGTTTACTTACATGACAAAAAAAAGAAAAAAGAAAAAAATCTCATATTGCAGAAGTGACTGAGAGGTACTTGCAGCTAAATAGTGTCCTTCAGAAGAGCCTGAAAGCCTGAGTCCCCTACCTCCCCACTTGAGTTAAAAAGCTACTCTGTTAAATACAGAAATTAGGAGCTTTAGAGTGGGCTTTTCAAAAGCAGGCCACCATTGGCTTGCTCTCATGTTTGTTTGCTCTACTTCTAGTGCCTCAGCACCCCCACCCTGTACAGCCTGCTTGAGGCTCGGCCCCTTGTACTCAGGACAGTGGAGAGAAGTCACAGTCCCAGCAGGGCAACTGGCCACCAGCCATGCCTCTGGGAGGCCCCTGCCCAGCTCGTACCGACTGCATGACTTTGGGCAAGTGACCCCACTTCTGAGCCTTGGTTTTCTCAACTTTAAACTGGGCATAATATCATCTACCTCAAAGGGTTGTTATGAGGTTTGCATGAACTGGCGCTTGTAAAATCCTGGCCTCAAACCTAGCTTAGCATGGACAGTCAGTAAATCATAGCTCATATTCTTTCTTCACTGTCTTATAAAAAAAATGCCTTTTCTCCTTTCATCAATAACACCTTCCCCAACACCAGGGGCCAGGAAGTTTCTCTGTTCCACTTAGTTTTTGGACATGTTTTGTGACCCTCTGACACACTAGGAACATCTGCTTTCTGCTGAGCCCTCAACGCCTAGAAAAGTGCTGGGTGCATGGTAGGCCCCCAGTAAATGTGTGAGTGAGGCTCACTCCACTTGCAAGGCTGAAGTGGGCTTGCATATTTGGCACTGAGGAGGAGTGATCTATGAGGGGTTTGCCTCCAGCCCCTCGCAAGAGGAGAGCTTCTTCAATCCCAGTGGTCCCGTGATGTATTTTATAGGTTAACAACACAGGACATCATGAAACACTGGTCACCAGTTGTGTGTGTGGTGTCTTTCCTACTAGTTAGCTAGTGCCTGAAGGAAAGGAACCCCTTCCGGGACAATCCCAGACCCCCAGAGCATATTGAGCACACCAGGGGCACCCAGGCTCCTAAGGCTTTATGGACTGATTAATTCTTAATCATTTAAAGACCCAATTACCATTGCATCTTTCCTTCTGAGATCAGAGACTAATTCTTATGAACTTGGGGTAGAGAAAAAAACCTAATTTACAGAGCCGACTTAGAGACTCTGCCCCTGCAGCCGTGGGAGAGGTTTCTTTCAATAAAACCACTTCTGACAAAGCCATAATAAGGAGTGAACAATTCAGTGCCATTTCTCAAGAGTTATCAGGCTGCCATCATCTTCATCCTCAAAGTGAAGTCAGAGAAGATGGGTTTGACCAAGTCATCATTTGTGCATTAAGGGGGCAATGCTTTTTATATAGAAAATACTTATCTGATCGTCTTCTGCCAGAGCAGCTCCCCTACAGCCACAAGTTTCCCAGTTGCTTTCACTTGAGTCTTTTCAAAGCTGTTTTTCTCAAACACACCTCGCTTCATCTCCTTCCTACACAGTCCAGGTTCTGTTGTTAATCTCTGATATTATTGTGCTGTAATCTCCTTGATGGTGACTTCTTCCCCCACTTCTCTTTAAATCACAAAGTGATGCAGTGCCATGCTTCATTCCCATTGTTCTCTCAGATTCCTTTCATTTGTCACCCTGTCTGCGTGTCACTGTCTGTGAGTCATTCTGCCCATCATTTATCTCCTTTCAAAGTTGGCAGAGAAATGCCAAGACACAATCTATTCCTATTAGATAAGATTCTTTGAAATGGATTCAGAATATATTAAAGCCTCGTTTATTAGTTATTGCACAAAGCTTAATTTTCAAATATCCAAACTTATCATTTAAAGAAATAGTTTATATTTCCAGTATATAGTAAAAAGTCCTTTGCATTGCAAAACAGGCAATATTGAACACAAGAGATATCACAGAGGGGATTTTCATGTAGGGTAGAGGCTGGAACTAGGAAAAAGCCTTAATTTCCTCTAACTCTGAGTCCTGTGATGAGTGTAAAATCACACATTGCACTGGGCCATCATCTTGGCTATGCCTCTGAGCCAACGAAGTGGACTTTGCTGGGCAGCTGTGGATGAGGGCATATTTCTGGATTCTCGAGCAAGCTGATGTGCTCGGGGTGCCACTGGGCTGTCGGCCTTGGTCCTACACTAAATGTCTCAAGGCTGCTTTGCCTCCTAAGGCCCTTTTAAGAACACCAGCATGGGGCAGGGGCTAAGGAGCTCAGGAGGGAGTTGCAGAGGGCACAGAGGGAGCCACTACCTGCACAGTGGAGAGGGCTCCAAGTGCAGCCCAGTGACAGCAAGCACGACAGTCGGGAGGCTTGTGAGTCATGGTCTTGGGAGAGCTGGTGGCGGCTCTGAGGCTGGTCTGTGACAATGAAGTGGAGAAGTTGGTGTTATGGGAATTTCTAAGGGACAGTAGGTAAGATTTAGTGACTGACTAAATGTGCATATGTAGAGGGTGGATAGGGATAGGACTGGAGATTCTGGGGCATAACGCCTGACTGAACAGGATGGCAAATCAACACACTGGTTTTGGTGGGAAGAATAGCTCCTCTTCAGCCCCAGGGATAATCCCTTTGAGATACATCATTGGGATTGCCTCCTGCCCACTGGGAGAGGCCGTTAGGGTCTCCCAGGGTTTCATGCAGCATTTCTGGTTCTCACGTATTAAAGCCTCGTTTATTAGTTATTGCACAAAGCTTAATTTTCAAATATCCAAACTTATCATTTAAAGAAATAGTTTATATTTCCAGTATATAGTAAAAAGTCCTTTGCATTGCAAAACAGGCAATATTGAACACAAGAGATATCACAGAGGGGATTTTCATGTAGGGTAGAGGCTGGAACTAGGAAAAAGCCTTAATTTCCTCTAACTCTGAGTCCTGTGATGAGTGTAAAATCACACATTGCACTGGGCCATCATCTTGGCTATGCCTCTGAGCCAACGAAGTGGACTTTGCTGGGCAGCTGTGGATGAGGGCATATTTCTGGATTCTCGAGCAAGCTGATGTGCTCGGGGTGCCACTGGGCTGTCGGCCTTGGTCCTACACTAAATGTCTCAAGGCTGCTTTGCCTCCTAAGGCCCTTTTAAGAACACCAGCATGGGGCAGGGGCTAAGGAGCTCAGGAGGGAGTTGCAGAGGGCACAGAGGGAGCCACTACCTGCACAGTGGAGAGGGCTCCAAGTGCAGCCCAGTGACAGCAAGCACGACAGTCGGGAGGCTTGTGAGTCATGGTCTTGGGAGAGCTGGTGGCGGCTCTGAGGCTGGTCTGTGACAATGAAGTGGAGAAGTTGGTGTTATGGGAATTTCTAAGGGACAGTAGGTAAGATTTAGTGACTGACTAAATGTGCATATGTAGAGGGTGGATAGGGATAGGACTGGAGATTCTGGGGCATAACGCCTGACTGAACAGGATGGCAAATCAACACACTGGTTTTGGTGGGAAGAATAGCTCCTCTTCAGCCCCAGGGATAATCCCTTTGAGATACATCATTGGGATTGCCTCCTGCCCACTGGGAGAGGCCGTTAGGGTCTCCCAGGGTTTCATGCAGCATTTCTGGTTCTCACGGGCCCTGGGTCTGCTCCAAGACCTTGGGGCCCTCTGCATATCTCTCCTCCCAACTTGGAAGTGAGACCTGAGGTCACCTCTTTGAGTGCTAGCAGTATCCACGTATAGAAAATGGCCCAGAACACCAACTAACCCTGTCAGCCATCAAAGTTCACGTTCATCATGTCGAAAATCTCCCATTTCAACAAAAGTCTTTACAGTACAATTCTGGGGTCAGCACAGACCCCACACGTGAAGGACACTGTCTCCAGAAAGACTGTCCTCACTTCAAACACCAGCCACAAGTTCCAGGGCTCCCAGGCTACTGTGCTTCTAGCCAAGGAACTAACATTTGGGGCTCCCCACTACCCTGTCAGGTCAGTTCCCTAGAACAACTCATGGAACTCAGCCTAGTGCTGTCCTTAAGATTACAGTCTTATGATAAAGGACAAAAACCAGTGCCAGACAAATGAAGAGAAGCCAAGTTCTGGGAGGTTTCCAAATACAAAGACTTCCAAGTCTTCCCTCTTGGTGCATACCCATCTGATTACCAAACAGGAACTAGACGGAACTTGGGAGCCAAGGTTTCTATTAGGGTTTCATTATGCAGGCATGATTGACTGAACTCATTCTGCAGCCACCTCCCCTCTATTTGTGGGAGATCAGAAGGTGGGGTTGATAATCAGTGGCTCAAATCCCTTTCCCTCTAATCACATGGCTGGTCTTTCCAGCATGGATATCCTCCACTCTCAACTATGTAGGGGCCAGCATGAGTGACCTGGTTAGCATAAACTCAGGTGCAGCTTGAGGGAACCACCACGCATAACAAAGACAGTCTTACCATTTGAGAAATTCAAGGGTTTGGAAATACCATCCCAGGAAACCAGGGCCAAAACCGGAAAAAATTCTTTATCATACCACAGTCTTATTTGGATATATTTATCCATATTTATTCTTTGTTTTTAGGTGGGACTGTTTCAACAACTTTGGTTTGGTTTCAGAACAAACCAGTTCCAACAGGAAATGGGGTTTGGGAGAAGTAAATAGGTGTTTTATCCTGCCATTTCCATCATACTGGTCCTCACTGAAAATCTAAGGGAGATTTGGTTAGTGGAAAACTCACACAGAAATAACAGCTCCTTTTCTGATTTAAGACCTAATTCACAAAAAGAAAACAAGAAAACATTTCAGGCACAAGTTTATTCTTTATTGTACTAATTTAAAGTTGCAGTCTACGTTAGAAATATTAGTTTGTTTATAAACGGTATGCGTGGGTTAGAGAGGGCTATGTTTTTTAGGAAGCTCCAAGCACATAACAGCTTAATAAATTTCAAAGTGTAATGAGTACATTTTTTAAATTAAAAATATCAAGTATAATTATAGCTTGTTGTGCTGACATGTGTGGGTCAGCAGTAATTGATGTCTGAGAGACCAAAACCTAGTGAGTAGGTGACACAGGTCACAGCACCCCCTTTCCCAGCACTGCCAGCAACATTTATAGAAGGAGAAGCCGTCCCTAATGGCCACAAAACAGTGTCCTGCTCCCAGTTTCATGAGATGTAAAGGTTAAATAAGAACTGTGGCTGTAAGTTTGCAGACCCACTTGTGGTAGAAACCACGCAGGTGGATTTTGAAGCTTTGTCATCAGTAAGTCCCAATAAAGACCTTTTTTATTAATTTCTTTTCAGAATTTATTCACTTTAAATGTGTTTCCATTTATAGCCTTGCTGTTTACTCTTTCCATGGGGTTCCAGTTAGAGTTTTCACCACATTTCCCCTTTCAGTGCTTCTCCCAAATCCCTATTACCCAGCAGAAGACAGAATGACAATATAACCTCATGAGGTCAATAAAGAGGCAACTAAAAGTACATATGAGCATTTTGGCAAGTAACTCCAAATAGCCAGTGTTGGAAACTCTCATATTAAATCCACATTAAGGCATATTTCCCAGACCTCTTCCTGCTTGCATGGCATACTGCATTTCTATGAACAGCTTCCAGTCATAAAACCAAATTGTTGACCAAGTTTTCTCAATTAAATGATACACTGTGTAGAAATTGGCATTTCCCATCCAATTTGAGTTACATTGCCATTAGTTGTTACATCCCTACCAGAAGGATTAAATCAGATTATGACAGGGGAAAAAAACATTGTGAATGGTGAAGGGTTTTTTAGGGGGTCGGGAGGGTTAGTACCTGCGTTTGGGGCATATTTTATATTCTCCATTTTATACACCAGGACTGAGCAACATAAGAACCTGGCTAACCATCAATTCTGATGTGTGTTTTTTTTTCTCTTTTTTCTTTTTATTACTTTATATCGAAGTGAACTGCCTCATCCACCTCAGAACCTTCTGGCCAGCCTGAATTCTTCCTACAGCCATGCTGTGGTGCTCTCTTGGGTTCGACCCTTTGATGGAAACAGCCCAGTTCTTTATTACATTGTGGAACTGTCTGAAAACAGTAAGTAGCAAAGCAAAGTTGTCACCATGGACAATAATCAGATTTCTTTCTGTGCACTTACTGTCCTTAACCTTTACATCTGGCTCAGACCCAAAACAACTGGCAAAATGTTATGATGCTCTATGGAGTTTCAAATGAAAACACAGCTTCAGCGCTAGGAAGGGTAAAAGGTGATGTGGGCACCTTGGTGAGGACAAGAGGCCTCCTGTGAGAGCCTGGATTGGGCCTGAGGCCCCACGGGGCGGCATGCACACAGGGCTGCCCTGAGCAAGTTTCCTGATTACATATCATGTCAATTGTGCCTCCACTTGGGGTGGCCTGAGGGTCAGTAGCAACAGTGATAGGTGGATCTTCGGTATGTTGGCTCCAGTGCAGGCCTTGTGCTAAGTACTCATGGGTCCTTTCCTTCCACACCTTCCTCCACCTTCAGCAGCCATTGGTGCCCTTCTTGGTCACATGTTCTCCTTCTAGGCACACCCGTAGCCCCCTGGCCACGCTTTCCTCCTCTTGCCTGCTCCTCGGGGTTCAGGGCTCACTGCTCTCTGCTCCCCTAGGATCTCTTCCTAGAACACCTCATGCATCCCTGTGATTTCAAGTGATGCCTTTTCCTTGAAAAGATATCCCAAGCCTTAGTGTGGTTATCCAGCCCTCCGGGATCATATGTGGGACCCAGTTTCTTGACATCTCCATCTGGTTGTGTCAGGGACACCTCCAACCTAAACTCTTCAAACTGTGTCTTTTGACTTTTTAACTCCAACTGTCCTCAGCACATCACTGCAGCCCCTCTGGCCTCAGCGTTGGCTCCCACTGTGACTTCTGTGTTTCTCAGGCCTGACTCCCACTGCGTGCCCATCACCATGGCGGCAGCAGTCCCATTGGTGTGGCCCAGGTCACTGCTGGAATCCTGTCTCTCTCCTCGCCTCTCGAGGCCACCATTCTCTCTCCCCAGGACAATCACGATAACCTATGACCAGTGCCTCTGCTTCTACTTCTGTTCTCTTCCAGACCGTCGTACACAAGCAGAAACACTGATCTTAAAATGCAGTTGGGCCTGTCCTCCCCATATGAACCCCGCAGGGCTCAGAACAGAACTCAGGCTCTGCAGTCGCCTGGCAGCCTTGCCCTGGCCAGGCCACTGGCCTGCTTGGCGTGTGTGGCCATGTGGCTTTCAAACTGGCTCCCTGTATGGGCCGCACTTCCTTTCTCAGAGCCTGTCCCCTCACCAGTGCCAAGCATGCTCACAGGGTAGGACTGTTATCTTCACAATTACGACACCACCAGCTCAGTTTAGCTTTACTCCCCAGGCTGGCAGCCTCTTTAGTATTCACTTTTCCAGACTCCTCCCAGGCCTCCCCAAGGTGGGCTAGCCAGACCTCAGGCATCAGGGCTCTTGTGGCAGTCAGCTTCACTGGCCTGAGCTGCTCGTCGTGAGTATAAAGGGGCCCCATTTCAGGGCAGCTGACAGTGGTGCTCTCTCATTGTGCTCTCCCCAAAACCTACCTCTGGTGCAAGTCCACATGGATCCTGCCACCACCCACTTCCACAGACAGGGACATCCTGCGGTTTTGCTGAGGCTTCTCCCAGGCTCATACTGACTGCCACACTCTTCCTATATAAATCCCCACCCAGTGTCTCCTAATCAGCATTATCTACCTGCTTGTTCTCACGTGAGAGGTTCCCCCTCTGATCAGCATGCACTGGTCTTTGTTTTCTACCGAGGAGACCACCAAGAGGTGAGTATAAGTCGCTGGCCCAAGGCCATGCAGCTGGCACTAGGTAAAGCTGGGGTCCCACCAGCTAGTGATGTTAATGAGTGGCAGCCTCTGCACAGAGACCACATGGGGCAGGTGCTTCTCTCTGGTACTTTAGCAGCAGTGGTACAGTGAGTCCTGGCCCAGAACAGTGCTTGCTGAGATTAAAGGAGGCCACTCTGCAACTTGCCTTTATTTGAGTTGGGCACCAGTTCACTGAAGGAAGTCCCAAAGGCAGTATTTTACCTCCATTTCCTGGGCTTCTAAATTTGACACCCTAGGCCACAGTGGCTTCCATTCCAAGCACCATCTCAGAACTAGGTGCCCCATGTCCAATCTCTTGTGGACACCTCGGATGCCTGACCTGGTCTCTTTCCTCCAGGAGAGGGTAGGGATGTGAATGGAAACCAGTCTGCAGGCCGACATCCATCTTAGCTTTAGCTCAACATCTCTGATCACAGAGGGTAGGGATTGGCATTAACCTTCCAAGGAGATAAGGTTTTCCTAATCTTTCAGTGCTTCTCCCAAATCCCTATTACCCAGCAGAAGACAGAATGACAATATAACCTCATGAGGTCAATAAAGAGGCAACTAAAAGTACATATGAGCATTTTGGCAAGTAACTCCAAATAGCCAGTGTTGGAAACTCTCATATTAAATCCACATTAAGGCATATTTCCCAGGCCTCTTCCTGCTTGCATGGCATACTGCATTTCTATGAACAGCTTCCAGTCATAAAACCAAATTGTTGACCAAGTTTTCTCAATTAAATGATACACTGTGTAGAAATTGGCATTTCCCATCCAATTTGAGTTACATTGCCATTAGTTGTTACATCCCTACCAGAAGGATTAAATCAGATTATGACAGGGGAAAAAAACATTGTGAATGGTGAAGGGTTTTTTAGGGGGTCGGGAGGGTTAGTACCTGCGTTTGGGGCATATTTTATATTCTCCATTTTATACACCAGGACTGAGCAACATAAGAACCTGGCTAACCATCAATTCTGATGTGTGTTTTTTTTTCTCTTTTTTCTTTTTATTACTTTATATCGAAGTGAACTGCCTCATCCACCTCAGAACCTTCTGGCCAGCCTGAATTCTTCCTACAGCCATGCTGTGGTGCTCTCTTGGGTTCGACCCTTTGATGGAAACAGCCCAGTTCTTTATTACATTGTGGAACTGTCTGAAAACAGTAAGTAGCAAAGCAAAGTTGTCACCATGGACAATAATCAGATTTCTTTCTGTGCACTTACTGTCCTTAACCTTTACATCTGGCTCAGACCCAAAACAACTGGCAAAATGTTATGATGCTCTATGGAGTTTCAAATGAAAACACAGCTTCAGCGCTAGGAAGGGTAAAAGGTGATGTGGGCACCTTGGTGAGGACAAGAGGCCTCCTGTGAGAGCCTGGATTGGGCCTGAGGCCCCACGGGGCGGCATGCACACAGGGCTGCCCTGAGCAAGTTTCCTGATTACATATCGTGTCAATTGTGCCTCCACTTGGGGTGGCCTGAGGGTCAGTAGCAACAGTGATAGGTGGATCTTCGGTATGTTGGCTCCAGTGCAGGCCTTGTGCTAAGTACTCATGGGTCCTTTCCTTCCACACCTTCCTCTACCTTCAGCAGCCATTGGTGCCCTTCTTGGTCACATGTTCTCCTTCTAGGCACACCCGTAGCCCCCTGGCCACGCTTTCCTCCTCTTGCCTGCTCCTCGGGGTTCAGGGCTCACTGCTCTCTGCTCCCCTAGGATCTCTTCCTAGAACACCTCATGCATCCCTGTGATTTCAAGTGATGCCTTTTCCTTGAAAACATATCCCAAGCCTTAGTGTGGTTATCCAGCCCTCCGGGATCATATGTGGGACCCAGTTTCTTGACATCTCCATCTGGTTGTGTCAGGGACACCTCCAACCTAAACTCTTCAAACTGTGTCTTTTGACTTTTTAACTCCAACTGTCCTCAGCACATCACTGCAGCCCCTCTGGCCTCAGCGTTGGCTCCCACTGTGACTTCTGTGTTTCTCAGGCCTGACTCCCACTGCGTGCCCATCACCATGGCGGCAGCAGTCCCATTGGTGTGGCCCAGGTCACTGCTGGAATCCTGTCTCTCTCCTCGCCTCTCGAGGCCACCATTCTCTCTCCCCAGGACAATCACGATAACCTATGACCAGTGCCTCTGCTTCTACTTCTGTTCTCTTCCAGACCGTCGTACACAAGCAGAAACACTGATCTTAAAATGCAGTTGGGCCTGTCCTCCCCATATGAACCCCACAGGGCTCAGAACAGAACTCAGGCTCTGCAGTCGCCTGGCAGCCTTGCCCTGGCCAGGCCACTGGCCTGCTTGGCGTGTGTGGCCATGTGGCTTTCAAACTGGCTCCCTGTATGGGCCGCACTTCCTTTCTCAGAGCCTGTCCCCTCACCAGTGCCAAGCATGCTCACAGGGTAGGACTGTTATCTTCACAATTACGACACCACCAGCTCAGTTTAGCTTTACTCCCCAGGCTGGCAGCCTCTTTAGTATTCACTTTTCCAGACTCCTCCCAGGCCTCCCCAAGGTGGGCTAGCCAGACCTCAGGCATCAGGGCTCTTGTGGCAGTCAGCTTCACTGGCCTGAGCTGCTCGTCGTGAGTATAAAGGGGCCCCATTTCAGGGCAGCTGACAGTGGTGCTCTCTCATTGTGCTCTCCCCAAAACCTACCTCTGGTGCAAGTCCACATGGATCCTGCCACCACCCACTTCCACAGACAGGGACATCCTGCGGTTTTGCTGAGGCTTCTCCCAGGCTCATACTGACTGCCACACTCTTCCTATATAAATCCCCACCCAGTGTCTCCTAATCAGCATTATCTACCTGCTTGTTCTCACGTGAGAGGTTCCCCCTCTGATCAGCATGCACTGGTCTTTGTTTTCTACCGAGGAAACCACCAAGAGGTGAGTATAAGTCGCTGGCCCAAGGCCATGCAGCTGGCACTAGGTAAAGCTGGGGTCCCACCAGCTAGTGATGTTAATGAGTGGCAGCCTCTGCACAGAGACCACATGGGGCAGGTGCTTCTCTCTGGTACTTTAGCAGCAGTGGTACAGTGAGTCCTGGCCCAGAACAGTGCTTGCTGAGATTAAAGGAGGCCACTCTGCAACTTGCCTTTATTTGAGTTGGGCACCAGTTCACTGAAGGAAGTCCCAAAGGCAGTATTTTACCTCCATTTCCTGGGCTTCTAAATTTGACACCCTAGGCCACAGTGGCTTCCATTCCAAG